GTATGTTCCATGCAGTTTCATTGGAACGAAGACAGGCATAAGAAAGCTTTTTTTCTGTTTTCTTAAAACCTGAGGAACCTTTGGTACTTCTCATCAACTTACTGGACGAGATAAAACTACGTCGTCCCCAGGCGTCACTCCTTAATTTGAGCGCGGTGCGCGTGGAGCTATGGGGCTGTTCACCGACGGAGCCTGAGGACGAGGCCGTGGGTGAAACATTGCCTCGGTCTCAGATGTGACACTTACTTTCATATTTTTATCATAATATGTCTCGTCCTCTGATGCTAAAATCTTCCATTTTTTCTTGTTGTTAGAGTATTCCCCGGAATAAAACAGTGCATGAGGATCTTTTCCCTCCACTCTATGAACTGTTTGTGGGCATCCCAAGTCCGCAATTACAAACTCTTTCTCGTAATCATAATCTTCTCTCGTAGCTGGGCACCAGGGTTCCTTGGACGCTGACGAGACGAACATTCCTCTCGCGAAACGCACGTTAGGCGCTTTGACGGAGTCGTTGTAAGAAGAGCTGGCGGTGAAACTTTTTTCAGGTAGAATTCGAACCAGGGGCGTCTCTGAACGAGGAAAAAAAGGTATATTAGCGTCCACAGATGTGCTCAACTAGGTTCGTGAAGAGTTACCCACCTCATTCAATTTGAGCATCACTGGGTTCCGACAAGAATGACTTTAAATAAAACTCTGCGTTTACATGTGACCATTCTTTGGCCTCAATGGACCTTTTTGACGATATCATGCATTATCAACATTTTAACGTATTTTTCATAGAAAGAAAACCTCACCTCCATAAATCACGGATCATCTTCATAGATCATACTGAATTTAGTAAATATGCGAAGTTTCATAAGAACCAGAACATAGATCTGTTGCAAACTCATGAAAATATGGGACCTCAAACTTTCCAATTAAGTTTGCAACGGAATCGCATATTTACTAAATTCGGCATGATTAATCCACTAGTGAGTCTTACTTCTTGTTTAGATGAATAAATCAAAAACGTATATCAAACATCGTGAAAAATATCCATTGGTCATATTTACACTATAATGTGCAAAGGGTGCAGAAAATTGAAACGCGTGAAGTCGGGAAGAGTTTTACAGCCGTTTTCTTTCTCTCCCGATGTTCACTGGTGCTTAGTAATCATATCACCATGGAATCTCGCAAAATTTCAATGGCGTTGTCAATGTCTGTTTTCATTTCATCAGGAAAGTTAAAAGTGTCAGTTTAAATGTAGAGTGCGGATTGTTACAAAATGTCTCGTGTGCTGACTCGGCCAAAGGACAATGGATTAATTCTAATTCGACTTGAAACTTAGAAACAACAAGATGTTGACAAGAGAAAGAATTACTGGGGGTACTGTCATGAATATAACTACGAAAATTTAGAATCCAAAAGATAGATATTGATAAAGGAAAACCAAGAGAAGATCAAGGTATCAGCTTCGCTTGGGAAAACCTAACAATAATGGTTTAGGTTTGAATCGTATTGACAGTGTCCCTTGACCATTCCATTTGATAGAGTCACGACAACTTACCTTGAGCCAAGGACAATGGGACAGCTACAAACAGCAAAATAGCCTTTGAAAACATGATTGTAAAGATCTATGGAGAGACACAGAATTAGTTGAGCGTTTGAACATAATTTGCGCTGATGTCAGCTTCAAACGCATTCAAAAGACTCTCAGTACACTTTAGATCGTACCATAACGCACATCAGTTTACGTACATGTACATCATGTGGTGAAGGACAATCGGACAGTAAAACTATATTGCGGAACTAAGTTCATGTTTGTCGATCAGATATATTTCCACACAATAAGTGCAATTAGAAATAAGGCTGATGCATGTCATTTCGATATCCTGACGACGAAAACTGATAAATTCTGCTTTCCAGGTCTGTTACATGAAATGAAGTATTTGCAGAAAGCTGTCTCCCTCAAAACGCCCCTTAAATACGATCCAATTCAGTAAACTGAAACATTTACTATATCTAATCCAAGAAATAAGTAAGGTAAAGTCTGCTTCAGGATAGCCGGAGCTTATTCCGTGGAACATTAAGCGATTAGGAGTGCTACTCCCCCCTGGATGGGATGTCAGTTCATTGCAGGGTTACCCCCAAATTTAATTCGCTGGCACCCATTTATACCCCTGAATAAAGAGAGGCACCGTGAGAGTGGAGTGTCTTGCCCGAGAACAGAACATAGTGCATTTCCCCGGCTAGGGCTCGAACAGGGACCGCTCGATCAAGAGGCTAGCTCGCTAACCACGAAACCACTATTGCCGAACATAACTCAAGAAATAATAAAGGTATAAAAGTCTGAAATAGCTGAACTAGAGAATGCTCCAATGCCAATCATAGACTTACTTGCACTTCAAGTTGTGTTACAAGCTACGAAGATAGTGGTGTTTCGTTCTTCATATGTATACCTCACTGACGCACAGAGGTAGTGAATGATCGTTAAGGCAACGGGTATATCTAAGCCAATAATGCAACTCATGTGTGGGGGCATAACACATTAGAAATAATAAATACATTGACGGATTTGACTGTGGGCTGTGATAATGGAAATACCGTTGACGCAACTGATGTGACGACTTAAAATGCGAAGGGATTTCAAACACTCACTAGCAAAAATAATGAAGCAATTACCTAAGAGGATTAATGAAGGCCAGTCACGGAAAAATAGAACAAAATTATTTTATTAAATCCGAAAGAGAGATTGAATGCTAAAAAACAATGGTTAGAAGTAACGAATATGGTTATGAATGGTTTAGGCCTCTGCATCTTGAAGCACCAGAAAACAACCTTAGTTGACGATCTTTAATTCATCTTTGTCATGTTCGTCCAACGTGAAAACCCAAGTGAAACGTACAAATGTAGAACACTTTGATTCAAAATCCCTGAGCTAAGGAACGTTGAAGAAAATTAGCCATGCGTTGAGTATAATATTGCCAACTGATTCGTTTGTTAATATGCACTATTGAAAAGACGTGATTAAAATTTCATCGGTAATATTTAATCTATTACCATTTATTGGACCCGTAAGTTTCACTGGAAAATACATCACTCTCGTAAAATTCGTACGAAATACGGCATGGTGGTTTGAAGATTTGAATTTTATTTTCCAGCTCGTTAAAAATAATAGTTTGCTGACTCTTTGCGCTCCTTCGTAAAATATTGTTTTTACCACTCAAAAATAATAGTCATATCTTCGTGCTGTCGTGTAATATTATTTATATTGTTTACTTTTGCAAATGCTTGTATAAATATTCGATAATGAGAAATAGCTCGTAAACACTGCAAACAACCATGTGCTTTGTTCTGTATTCTAGAAAATGTACAATTGTACATTTTAAATTCGGATCGTTTCTGCATTCAATGATTCCATTTGACCCCACGAACTCTCTAAATTTCCCGCAAGTATTTTGTCAAATTGAAGCGAAGGAGCCAAGTTGCTTTTCTAAACTAGCGTGCACAATCAAAATTTACGGCCACTACTACAAAACTGAATTTTTGGAACCCGAAGGAGAGGTTTAATAATAGTCGAAATTATTTTTCCCTCTCACCAAGACCTGAATGAATAATCTAACACAACCATGCAGACAAACTGTCGCCGACTTTCGTACTTTCTCAGAAAATCGATTCCGCCCTTTAAGGTGATGTTTCACGAACCAATTTTTGACGCCGACTTTTAACGCAAACATTGTCGCGTTAAAAATCGATATCGTGTGACATGGCGCCAAGGCAACTTTGAACGCAACATTTCGTTGGGGCAACATGTTGCAGGTTTTTGAAAGCAATTCAAAAACTTGTAACATTATTACCTGAATTTACAATGCTGCGTCCAAAATCGTCTCGCGTAACATACCGTTGCCTACTGTCGTCGCAACCAAGTTGCGTTAATAGTTGTCTCGCGTAAGATCACATATACCAAAACTCCACACCTCTGGCTTTGCGTCAGTCGCGGGCAGTTTTTACTCTTTTTCTTTTAGCAAGTACACCACATTGTTTTCATATTTTCAATAAACGGGGTATGGAAATATGGCGAAGCAGCCCTCGTCAGCAATTGAGTGGGAAGTTGAGCTGCCCCGAGGGAACTTTTTAATAATAATAGATTCGACTTAAACGCACGTCGTTATCCAGTGCTTTCTTAAGAGAATCCTTCGACGTCCATATTTACATTATTTAGCTCTTTCGTAACGATTTGATCTTTCTTCATACTTTTTTCAATAGCTTTCGTCTCTATTCGCTTTGCCCGCTTGGATTACAATAAACCTCAGCGTTTACGTGAAGCAACGTTGCTCAAAATTGAACATTTGGTCTGATTAAGATTTAAGATTTGGCCTGCCAAATATTGAAAATGCCAAACTCTGAAAACTCTGGATTCAAATAATGCAAATTCCAGCTTAGGCATTCAGGTTTTTCTGATCCCAAAGCAGGTTTTTTCATAGCCCCAAATCAGTTTTTTTCCCTTCAAGCTGTCTCTAAGACCTGGTAAAGAGCTTGCTTTTCTAACTCTGGGGAGTACTCTGGGGTCACTGTTAACTCCTCGGCTCAGGTCATGGCGCGGGCAAGGCATTTTCACATTTCTTTGTCTTCAGTGAGGCCTGGTTTACACTAGCGACATGACAACATAATGACATAACGACACAATCACTCACAACGGTTATGTGAACATTGACATAAAGACATAAGGAAAAGTTCAGTTTTATTTCCTTAAGCCGTTATGTACGTGCTGTTATGTCGTTATTTTTAGGTCGTTATGTCGCTAGTGTGAATCAGGCCTAAGCGTTGAATGTTGTCCTTCAGTAGTAGTGTTCTTTCGAGTGAGGCCTTAAACTACTGTTTTTAGTAATAGTTTGTCTTCAGCTTGTGTTTGGAGGTATTTAGTCAGAACAAGATGCAATAAGACAAAAAGAACAAATATAAAATCAATTTATTGTACCATTGCCGGGCGCGGCTTTGATAATTGCATTATCGCGAGCTTTCTTAAACTCTTAGTCAGGTTTTTCTTCTCGGTTAATAAGTTAACGGGACAATTCAGTCATAGTTGCGCTTCAAAAATTCTTCATGCAAATATTTCAAACAGTGAGGTGGATTCCTTATCATCATGATAAAACAAGCAAAACATAGTGACAACATTTGCTAACTAAGCAAAACTAGACCCCATGCAGTGATGAAAAAACATAGGATTGAAAGAGCTTTCAAATCGTTCCACTATCTTGAAAGTTACGAATGTAAACAACAGTATTAAAGATATTGTAACCTGTGCTGCTAGTTTGAAACTAAAATCGAAATAACTCAGAAACAGCCAGTAAACCGATACAGGAGACAAAGTGAAAAGAAGTCGTCTGAACAAAACGGCCAATTTGGATATATTATTATAATGGATCCGAGACTTGAGGACATAAAACAAAAGAAATGACAATGAGGTTGACGGATGAATAATTAATTATTTTGTTCCCCAAAGTTTCGGAGCCAAGTTAGATTTGTATAGTGATCAATAAAAATTTCTCCCTTTGCACAACATACATCCCCAAAGATAAAGTTTTCTCGATTTTGGATCAATCGCAGTTTTGAAGACTTTTTGACTTCTAGACTTTTTGAACCAATTTGTGTTCCATTTTTTACAACAACCCATTCCAAAATGTATATTCACTTAATAAAAAATGTGTTTGTTGATATATAAAATTTGACTGTATAAAAGTGTAGGAGGGTACTTCTGTCTATTTGAAAGTCTTTGAATTCTCATCACAGCCTTCCATAGACGAAAGATGAAAGTCACTTTATCCGTGGCTAACACAATTTCTGTTTGATGATTTATTCCTTATCTCCCATGACCTGCATGCTTGGCTTATATTGAACTTGTTGCGAGAAATTAGAAGCAGATCGTTGTTGGAACTCAGTGGAAAGTGAGATCGCGTTTACAGTCCAGTATAGTTCACTGAACGTTTTCTTCTGGAAGTTGTCTCTTTCTTGACCTTTTCTGGCGGAAACGGTTCCCTGTGAAGCGAGAGAAAAATATACTAACACGTTAATTGGATAAAGGAGAAAGGTGTGCTTGAACAGAATAGATGATATTCTCGGTATAGGACTGGAACTAGTTTGTAACTGAGGCTACAGCGGGGAATCTCTTTTTAATGATATTAGCCTCCATTGCAAGCTAGTTCCAGTCCAAAACCGAGAATCCGAATATGGCCTATTGATCAAAATGAGGCTAAAGATGAAGCTGTGTTGCAAAGATTGAATTATAAATAAGTATCCTAAAAAACACGTGACTGTTCTCTGTTATTCAGAGCACCATCATTACT